GTCTGTGTGGGTGTTTTTTATCTTGAAATAAATGATCGTCTCACCAGCCTCTGAGCAGCCACTGCATCTAATGATGATGTAAAGAACGGAAGGTGAATGATAAACAGGACCATTTCTCAAAAGGAAACCTCAACCAATGGTCATTTTTCTCTAAACACTTCAGCCTTTGGATTCACTTTGAAGAGCAAACCTTACCATAACACCTGCAGGCTTTCGTTTTATTTCTGCCCTTGTCTTCTGCCCATATGCTCCTTGACCCAGCCCCTCCTCCCCAGCAGGTCTGCCCAGCTTACCTTACACCCCATGCTAGTGCCCATCCAGGGCTGGGACTAAATTCTGTTCCAAGAGCTCAGAAATGTCTTTACTGACAGAACTAAGCCCTTGCCGGCCTGGATTCAATGTTCTTCTGAAATGCAACATTCAGGGCTGGCCCAGTGCTAGTTAGTATACTGTTCCCTCCTTATTTTAAAAGAACAATGAACAAATTTTATAATAAAAACCTTGGCATAACAGAGCTCTTAATAATTTTGGGAATGGCAGCACCTGTCTCTCTTTATCTTCCATGATGCACATTAAGTGGTCCTTTGCTCCAGTGAAACTGGGTTGTCTCTTGTCCCCAGAATGCAACCAAGACTTCCCTGTTTCTAGCCCCTTGCTGCCCAGTGGTTGTGTGCTTCCTGGGTCACTTCATAGACTGCAGCCTTCCCCTGGTATTGGGTTCCTGCATTGCTATTCAGCTCCTCCTGTGAGGGCCTCAACTCTACAACTAGGATGTAAACACTCAAGGAGAGGACTGTCTTCTCTGTGTCTGAGTCCCTGATAGTGCTGACAGAGCACCCGAGAGCGTGCTCATTGTTGGTTGTTTTTATTGGCAGAGTCTATACAACAGATCACAAACGGTCACAAAATCAAGACTGGACCCACAGGTGTCCTGGAAATAGCATATGACTCCACAGAGCACATCACCCAGGCATGGGGCGTTTGCCTACGAGTGAGAAGAACAAGGACCAGTACCCAGTGAGGGCTTGTTATCTGCCTGGCACTCGTGCAAGTGCCTAAATGCACGTGATCACTCTCTGCAGGAACTCCAATCACTGTCCTCATTTTACCGTTGGGGAAACAGGCGCAGAGAGGCTGGGCAGCTGCTCAGGCTGGTAGAGAGCAGAACAGGGTTCAATCCCAGGCAGTCTGGTTCGAGTCTGGGCGTAAGGATGACACTATGCTGTCTTTCTACACGTGGTGAAAGGGACTGGGAGACGGTGAGCTGGGAACACCTGGGGGCCAGCGAGAGACCTACCAAAACATCCACCACTTTTGTTGTTCATGTGCAGTGCTAACCTGAGCAAGGGGGAAACAGAGAATCATTTCAGCAGTTAAATAGCTTCTCTGGTTTCTGGTTGTTGATTTTTGTTTCTTTTATTATTTTATTTTAAATTTATTTTTAATTGCATTTTTTATTGAAGTGTAGTTGATTTACAATGTTAGTTCCAGGTGTACAACAAAGCAATTCAGTTATACATACACAAACATATATATATATATGTATTTTTTTTCTGATTCTTTTCCATGATAGGTTATTACAAGAAATTGACTATAGTTCCCTGTTCCATACAGTAGGACCTTGTTGTTTATCTGTTTTATATATAGTAGCATGTATCTATTAATCCCTTCCCTGCCTTTTCTCCTTTGGGAACCATAGTTTGTTTTCTATGTTCAGGTTGTTGATTTTTAAAATGCAATTTAAAGTACATTCACAAAACAATTAGCTCAGAAAATGACTGAGTCACTATTTTTTCCTCTCTCATTAGGTATCTATCTGTGTATCTAATTAGAAATTTTCCTGAAGCCTAATGATACCATCACACAGATACATTCGTTACAGTTTGTCATAATATAACCGCCTTCACCTGGTCACAACATGATACATCATTAAAATTAGTGGCAAAAGCAGAGTCTCCTGACTTCACCACAACCAGAGATAAAAACCTTAGCTGTAGCAGAGAAAAACTATGATGCAGAACAAATACTATACACATCGAATGTAAACACGTACCACTGTATAAGTCCCAGGCTGGGCAGAGGCCCAATTTGTTAACAAAATTCAGTTTTAATTGTTTGTTTTTCTGACTTCCATCGCATAGAATCAATAGAACGAAGGAACAGAAGCAAAGATAACCAAAAAACACTTTGGCACTGAGGCTATCCAGGGTCTGGAAGGGGATCTAGAAAAATCACAGAAATAATGGCTGCCTTTTGCTTTCTTATTGCTTTTATTTTTGTCATAAATAAACACTGGGGCGAAAAGAAAATACACATCGTTTGTGCCTCTGTAAACCCAGCAGTATTCAGAGAATCAAGTCAAATTTCATTGACAAGCATGTTGTTCATGCATCTTCTGAAATGCTGGGGTGTTGCATAGGCAGTGGCCCCACCCCTCCCTGGCCCTGCTGTGGCCGCCACTCCTCGGCCCCGTACTCGCTCCAGTTTGCCCCACAAAATGACTCGTGGCATTACT